TTCATAGGTTATAGCATTGAATTGGTAAGCTCAGCACGTTTCTATATAATCTCACACAACATTTGCACACACACACACACATACACATAATATGTATAACATTAATGATGAGATAGTGGCTCCTTAATAATAGTTAAATTGAAAAAGTTGATAAAGAGAAATTTTAGTCATTATTAGAATAGCCGGAGTAACTTGTGAGGGCATGTTTGTATGAAACAGTTAGCGGGCGGTATATCAAAAGGAACTAATTGAAAAGAAACATCATAAATATGTTTATATTTGCGATGACATGCTTCATGCTTTATGTATATTGCTGGGCAAATATATGTTTGCCTGTCTCCCATTGTTGCTTCGTGCACTTATTTGATACGATATTATCTAAAGCGATTTCTGTTATATAATATTTAATGCAAAAAATTCTCAAAACTCGGTTAGAGCTAAACGGAAAAAAAAAGAAAAAAAAATGAAAAAATGAAAAAATGAATAAATGTTAAGGGCACAATGCGGATTTTAGCAGGAAAGCATAAAATCCTTGAGCTTTTAATGGCGCCTTGATGACAAATGTCAAAAACACTCAGTGGAGCGTGTGGACGAGATCACAATACAACAAACGCATTCATGTGTCTGTGTGTGTGTGTGTGTGTGTGTATGTCTGTGTGTGTGTGCGTGCGTATATACTCGTTCCATTGACAACAATAAGGATGACAGCTCAAACAAATGACAAACGTGGGGCACATGCCAGAGAGTGAAATACAACAATAATATCCGGCTTCCGGCTAAACAGCGACATGCCAGTTAATGTTCGTTATTAAGTTTATAAGCGCACATATACCATCATCATATATTCATCTCAAAGTTTATAAAGAATATTTCATATCATATACAAATATGTATGAATATATTTATTTTTATATATATGTATATATGTATACGTACGTACGTATATATTCATAATATGCATTCAAAAATAAATAAATATATATATGTACATATATATATATATAATCTGATATTTGTGAATTTTATGTGTTTACAGTGAAAATCTATTTTGTCTTATAACTATATATACATATATAGATAAATACATATATTTCTCTGTTCTCCGTTTTCTACTGTAAATATCCTCTAATTATCTAACAAAAGCCAGTGAGTTTTCCGTCTCTAGCGGTCCTTTCAACCCCTAATCTATAGTATTTAGTTTACAATTTCATTGCTTGCAACTCATATATCTGTTTAATGTTTTTTATATATGAGCTGTGTCGTATCGTTTGACAGTAATTCGTAATGGGTTGTTTTCAACAAACATTGTACATTCAAGAGCAGCATAGACACGCGTTGTTTACTTTTTATGACTTTATTTCTTAGATCAAGTGGAAAGTCTTTCTTTTCTCTTCAACACTATTATAACTTTTATTTATCCTACGCAATCAAAAAGCAAAATGTATATATTAGATCGGATAAGAAAATTTGACATTGATAATCTCTTCCATCGAATATATTATCTGAACAAGTTAGCTGAAATTGTTATCTGATAACAAATCTGTATTAAACCGTATTAAGAATGCCTCTAATAACTAGAAAGCTCAAGCCTAATTCTATAATAGATAGTTGACTCAATATTTGAATGTTGACTTTTGAAGTTCACTTGTTCCTATGCTAATTGATCTGCAATTACTTTCCAAGTTAATAGCTAGCTATTGATTAAGTGTAAGAGTTTTTTAAAAATGAAAAAAAAAACTATTTCAGTATATATAAAAGGGCTGCAAAAGGGTGACTCTGTGAAGTCTACATCTAACCAAAATTTGCATTTCAATTTGCTTAAGACTTTTATACTCGTACGCGTTGTAGTTAGATATGAGCCAGTGTACCGTGAGATGACTCTTCATATATATGCTGTTGTGTTCGGAAATGGAAAAACCTTTCTGATAATCATCATTAGTTAAGCTTCACGGTTGGATTCCTCATCAATGACTTTCTAGTTTATTATGTAAATAAAAGCATAACTTGCGTAACATTTTCAATAGAATTGATTCCATTTATTGTGTTGTTGTTATTAAACATATCACTGCACTTCGTAAGGGAAGCAATTTTTTATTATTATCTTTTCCCAGAAAACACTACTGATTTGCTGCAAAAATGATTCAGTTCCGTGTTTTCTTTAAACAAATTATTGCTCCACCATTTACATATGTATATGTTACTATTAATTATCGTAAGTTACCCGAATTCCGGTGGTAGCATTTTGCAAAAGTCAAGAACTGTCGGCTTAAATTTGAATTGAGATTTATTTCCCCGTCTTTCGGGCAGTGCATCAAAAACCACAAAGATAGAATTAGAATCGATTCTCATTCATTTTGAATCGATTTCAATACCGGTCTACCGGCCCCTCTACATATATTTTTGCGTTCAATTTGCAGAAATTTGCGCGATTGCTTGATAAAATTAGAGAAGGTGATGCACCGTATTAAGTCAGGCTTGTTCTACTATAGTATTTGAGCTTGTAACATACCTTCGATTAACTAGCGATTACAGGTGCAAAGAAAAAAAAAAAAACGGTGGTTTGTAATTTTCAGAATTCAGATCCTTCTATAAAGAATAATATTCTGAAACTACTTAACTATGTCCATCTGTCTAGTGTCCCTTTATCTAACGTTATGGTCGCTAAAATCCATCAAAAAAAAAAAAAATAAATAAATAAATAAATAAATAAATGAATATAGATCTAAAATCTAAATTCCTACTTTGTACATAGGACCAAATTAAAATATGAAATATTCTCAACCGCTACCACGTTATCATTATATAAAGAGAACGAAAGCTTTTTTTATACCATCATATGTAGGCCATCATATGTATCCATGCATCGAATTTAATATTCTTAAGGACTCAACTATAGATAAATAATCATATATATATATGAAAGATTGACCTATAGATAAATCCATAATCATAACATAATCATGCACAATATTACTAAGGGATTAGCGCTTAATTTCAACAGTTTTTGTGGTCTTTTTACGAAAACTTTGAAGAACTGATGCAATTGCTCTTAACATTCAATTAAACGATAGTCATACTACGACAGTCATAATACTACAATAGACATAAAAAAATAAAAAAAGAAAAGGAATAAATCCTGATAAACGAGAATATAATATACAGTGTGTGTGTAGTACACGAAAGTTTCCATTTTTACGTTGAACGAAGATAATATCGCTTGCATTCCTGTAAATCGATAGCCTCTGAATCGGGCTAAATCGATCAAAGTACAACCCTACCATGCAATGATAAACTTAACTAACCTCTGCTTTCCAAGATTTATGAACAGTAAAAATTTAGTTGCATATTCTACAAAAATATAAATTATCAACCACGCCCATCTAATATTATAGAATATGAAATTTGAGCTTTCTCGTTGCTTCTCTAGTCTCATTTAAGGTATGGGCGGTGCTTTTAAAAAAATTTTAAAAAATCCCAGTGAAATTTTTTTAAATAACTCGAAATCAAAATACGTATAACCTGTGTATCATGTTTATCCATAACTAGTTACATCGTGAGATAATTTGTTATAAAAGTATGAATATAGGTTAAGGTTAAAACAAAAAAAAAAAAAAAAAAAAAATGTCCAAATTTTACATTTATAATTTTGAAAATTATTTTTAATTTCGATAACTGAATATGTCAAGGACACCAAACAACAAATCATTATATTGCATTACTCGTAGGAGTGTCAGGTAAATCGCATTAGCATTAGCGAATATTCGCTCTACTACTCCTCAATAAGGTCGCTAAAGGACTGCAGTAGGCCCTAACTAAACTTAAAAGCTCTGATATTCATTTCGAAAATCACTGGTCGAATGCTCGGAATATGTTTTACGCAAATCGTATACATAATAGTTTATATGATCATCTTTGAATGTGTTGGCTTTTAAAGTCGCATATCACCTGTAATGAGTAATGGAATGAATGAATGAAATTTCACATATAAATCAGCGTAAGAGTGAAACCAGCATCAATTTTTCCGTCCATACTTCAGTCTGCGCTCTTGAAAAACATATTTACATTTGTTACATTTATGATCGTTGATGTGAACAATCGGCGCTTAAGTGCTTTTGCATCGCTCATCGTTCATTTGTAGGTATTTACTATTTTTGGGATTGCGAGAGCCATAAAGAAAGCAAAATATCAATAAACCGCTTATTGTCAAGTTGACATTTATTAATCTCCTTTCTGCAATCTTATGACGTTTTAATATTATATCGTTGGCTATTATTAAAAACAATTTTATGTTTGTTTAAATGTTTAATGGACAAAATACGTACGTAGCGAGACAAATAAACGCATGAGCGCACATTAAATCGTAACTATGCAGGTCAACGCAAATGATAAATGTTATCGAATAGCAAAAGAAAATGAAACAACAAAATATCAGCAGCAATCCTTTCAGGTTATTTTTCTTCATTATAAGCGATTATAAATTGTTATTCTAGCCATGAAAAAATGCATATTATTTTTTTTTTTTTATTTATTTATTTATTTATTTATATACTTTTTCCTTTTTTTATTAATTTTTTTTTTTTTTGTATTTTTTCTTTGTATTCTTAATTTTGTCCACTTTTGCACACAAGTTAATCTATAAAATGCGTAATAAAAGCTGACCTATCAAGGTAACAGAGTACATGAATCTACGACAGCCAGGCGAAACGATACTTTTACATGCCTTGTCTACTACTTCCGCTCATTTCGGATGTTTTGTTGCCTTTCGTCCTTTCCTCCTTTCCTATAGCGTTCTTATGCTCTTTTTTTTTTTTTTTTTTTTTTTTTTTTTTTTTTTGCAGTCAAGAAGCTAAATTAATTTTTGTATACCATTAAGTTATTTAATGCGTATATACTCATTCAGTCGTCAACCAAGCAAATAACCAGGCGAACAACCAACCAACTGAATGAAGTACGAAAGAATAATAAATGAATGCACTGTGTGGAAAGCATAAAATGACTTAAAAGTATAGTGTATATATATGGGATAAAGTATACTCGTTGGTTTTTTTAGGTTTTCTTTTACATGTACGCGCGTCGAGATGTTACCGGCAGTTGTTTTTCTCCTATGTACAGTAAGTAAGTATATATAGAAGTAAGGACTTTTTTTTATTTATTTTTTTTTTTTTTTTTATTTATATTAATTTTTTTTTTTTTTGTATTTTGTATCTTTACATGAAAGGGGTTTCTGTTCTGGAGGCAGACCGAAATAAAAACAACAACAGAAACAACAAGAATACGAAAACAAATTATTTATTCTTTTTCACCATGCAAACGTTATATTAATTTGCTTACGGGATATGTACGCAAGAAGGGAAAGCTAACTATCCGTACACATTCAAAGGTAACTGAGTAGCACTAGCTACACATTAATTGCATGCCCTTTTAGGGCATAGGGTATTTATATATGTACCCGTACCCGTTTATATGTATAGGTAGATAGGTGAATGTGAAAGCTTATTTTAATGCTGCCATAAATGAATGCATACAGGGAAGTGAAAGCATTTTTCTAGGTTAGACAATTACCTTCATCCGCATTAATTTACAAGAGTGTGTGCACAAGTATGCTTTTATATATATATATATATATATATATGTATACATATACATATATATATATATGTATACATATACATATATATATATATGATTCGACAACACACAAACCAACGCGCGAAAACATTTATTTTACTTTATAAAATATGTTTTAATGCGTTTATGTGTGTGCGCGCACGTGTTTGTATATATGTCACACAAAGTAAAGATTAATAAAAACTCTTTTTCCCCTCATAAATAATGCAATTCATTGTTAAATTTACTTGCGACGGTTACTGTTCCTGTTGCTGTTAAAGCATTAAATGCAATTTATTTATTTTTTTATTTCTTATTTTTTTTCTATAAAGCCAACTGCAGATACACACACATATGCAAACACACTCGTACACATAAATACGAAATACATGCAAGTAGCTTATGGTAATTCAAGCGTTCTTTCTCAGCAAATTGTGCGGCCTAACTCTATTTCATTATTATTATTTAAAATTTTTTTTTCATCTTAGATATTTTGTTTAGCAATTATATAAACACGTAGGAGAAAAACGAACCAAAATTTTATACGCTTTGCGGTAGTTACACTCATACATACTTCCATTCAAGTTCATGCCTTAAAAATTTATAAATACTGCATACAATACACGTTTCTTCTTCTGCATGAGATGTTATTTTAATTAAGCACCTGTTGCTAATTACTAACGTGGGAGTTGTTTGTTTAAAATATAACAATAATAGCAACAACGGCGAAAACAATAATAGCGGCAATGATATAATAATTTCATTTTAAAATAATTTCATTTTAAAATCTATTTACCATAGTAAATACTATGAACTTTGCTCTTAATACATTTAAGAGAGAGCACGCAAAATAAAGTGAGATAGTTTCGCCTTATGCAGATCATGTATCATAATATTTATCGCATGTAATTTTTTTATTACTTTTTCATAAACGCATTTCAAATCTAAGGGGAAAACAAATTAAAAGATTTTAGAGGACCAATTTAGGCCATTAATTGCTTCTAACCAGTTCCCCGAATACTCTATTTTCTCTCTCTCTCTCCCTCTCTCTCCCACTCTCTCTCTCTCTCTCTCTCTCTCTCATACACACACACAATCTTTCTCAAATAATATCGCAAACTTTTTCTTTATTGTCATACAAATATTTCCATTTTATGAGAACTTTCATATATATGGGGAAGGGTTCTACTCGAATACATGGCACGCAGTCTAAACCTATTACAATAAATTTATGCGACGCGTCCTCAAAAAAGAGGTGTTTATTTATTTTTGCAGAAAATTATTCAATTATTTATTACTGTTAATATGTCCCCTTCAATTCCCTCTTACAATTCCCCTTATAATATACTTGTGCCAGCTCTTTTTGCACTTGTCAAAAGCAAAAAATCGCCAAACACACTAAAACACGTCTAACTTTTTATATTTGCCAAAAACAAAAAAAAAAAAAAAAAAAAAAAAAAATACGAAATGACTGATATTGTCAAGATATTTTGGGTCAACGTGCGCCAATATAAAAAAAAAAAAAATTTTTAAATCGAATGTAAGTCAACTTTTGTTTTAGAACACCTCGCTGTCATACATACTTACATTAGATTTACCGTCATCATTGAAGACTCAGCTGGATAATACCTTGTTGCCATTTGAAGGGTTAATATTTTGACAAGAATGTGTCCCAAAAGTGAACCGATGTGGTGCAAATGTAATTAAGTTAACTCTTAGGATCAATTTTCAGCATAAATTATTAATAACGAGAACATGTTAATTATAGTATAAATATTTATTTTGTACAGAAGCTATTACATCTGAAGAATTTCGAAATTCGTTCGATTCCACACGAATTGTGCATATTCATTTATTAAGCCGAAACAATATTTCGCATTTACTTTCCTCGCGATATATATTATAATAAAATTTCGCTAACTTCCTTCATATAATTTTTTTCTTTTCATTTCACACCGTATGAGTGGTGATCGTAAAATTAGTTCGGTTGAAACTGTTTTTAGCAGTGTTCGCAAAATATTTCAAAAAGGGCGGAACGCTGATTGGAGAAAAAATTAAATAAGCACACATCGGAATAGCATCACAGATCTGAAATTGCTTCAACCTATTCAAGAAATAGTTTTAAGGCAATTAGAATAACATATGGTGGATAAATATGCAAATGTGCAATGCAAACGTAAGCATGGAGATGTTCACGCACAACTACGAATTTATAGGAATTTTAATGCAACAGCATGCTCGTAACGTGAGCTCAACACAAAATTGTTACGTACACCCAGTGTAACATATAAGAAACGGTATAACGTTTAGCTTATTCAATAGGGTGTTAATCTTCGCGGATAACCGCGCTTAGTTGAACTTGAGGCTTTGAGAGCAGAACATAATTACGTTTCGTACGTACACCTTTAGTGTCTTTAAGCTATTCTTGCTACTACCCTTGCTACTGTTGCTTTTGTCGGTAAATCACTTCATCGCTCTCTTACCCTTGCCACTACTAACACTATTAGGACTCGTTGCGCTAAATTCGTCGTATACGACGAAATTATTTTGTAATGTTGTATGTAATTGAAGGATTACTATTTGGAATGAAACAGTCGAATTGATATTAATTGACCTAAAATGCTAAAAGATAATTACAGATTTAGAAGATAACTTAGCAAATAATTTTCTTTCCAAATATTCCTCACAATTGTCGGTATTTAAGATGCGGAAATTTATATATATGTATATATAAGTATATGTGTGTTTAGATAAATAGATTGCGAAGTCAATATCCAATGTTTTTCTTTTAATTTTTTTATTCATGACATCACACTGTATGTACGTTTTCTATATGTGTACATTTTTATATATATACGTTTTATATATATGCGTTATATATATACATATGCATATATATATATATATATATATATGAGACTAGTGTTAGGTCAAGAAAAAAAAAAAAAAAAAAAAAAAAAAACGTTGGATATTGACTCGACTGCGACTAGGCTAAGTTAGTTAGTTAGTTTCTCTCCAATGTCCAAAAATATATATTAAAAGCATTACGGAGTGCGTACAGAATAAACATAAATATTTGTCTTTAAAATCAATTTAATTACATTCGTGCTTTGTATCCATCTGACAAATAGTATATATATATATATATATACACACACACACACACACGCACATGTAAACAAACAATCGATTTTTATTTGTTAAGATTATGCTCAAACATTAATGTCAGCATCATAACTACAATGTGTAAAAAGCAATAAAATAGTTTCACTGAACGTAAATTTTAAAGGTTTATAATTAAGTATGGGCTAAAGACAAAGCACAACGCCTTGTAATTTGGTGATGTTAATTTATAAACGTGTTCATGCATTATATATGTAATATATATTAGTGAGAGCATATATATATGTATATATATATTTGAGTGTGTAAACATTTTCTATTGACAGAGAAAGTGACATAAATAAATAGATAGATAGGTAGATAGATAGGTAGATAGATAGATAGATAAATAAAGAGTGAGAGAGAGAGAGGGAGAGAGAGGCAGAATGAAAAAGAGAAAGATAGTCAAAAGGATGTGATAGTTCTGAATAAGATCTAATAATACATTAATATTTGTTTTAGATAAAATGTATGTGTCCTTCTCAACATTACTACTCCCCGGTAAATTTCAAGTAGAGAGAATTATTAATGCTCTTTAGTGAAAGAAAGAAAATGTATGTCTTTAGGGTTTTATGACATTCCCCAAGTGTTTCTAAGACGGTTTATGTTTGTGTATTTGTGTGTGTGTGTGTGTGTGTGTGTGTGCATGTGTGTGTATCCGTGTCGATTTTAATATGCAACCGAGTTAAGGGTGACTTTCAGTTTGTTGCTATTAATTTATTAATGCATTAACACTTGATAATAGCACACTATTCCCTAACTTAGCTTACAAAACTATTTGCTTAGGTATTATCGACCTTTCTAATAAAGTGTTTATTCGTATGCGTAATGTCTTTGTTTGGTTGTTACGAACAGGTGCAACAAATTAATTCGTAGAAAGCTACAACAAGAACCGAACAAAACCAGATATTGCCTGTCAGTGTTAAAACTAACAAAACGAAGAAAAAGTAATTGCCTTATGAATATTTAACAAGTACATAGAGACTACTAAGTCTGTTTTAATTATCACGATTATTAAGTTCTTATATGATCATTACGAAAATAAGGAAACACTTCATGATCTTAAAATAGGAAAAGACAGATATTTGTCATCAACTTTTCTACTCCTTGTAATTCCTTTTACAATCTGCCACCTGCTTACCCTACAACATTTATATTAGGTCTGTGTGAATGCGTAAACAACACGGATCATACGCATCGATGCAGAATCATTTTCTGAATCGACTTAGGTCTATCGGCATGCTCGTCCCACGCTTGTCAATCCGGCTGCCTGCATTTGGCTATCTTCACGACTACGTCTCACGCAGAGTCTGTATAACGTTTTGAAGTAAACGTTTTTTACTAAAGAAAAAAAAAAAAAAAAAATTTACGATGACTTTTTATGAATCTGCAAAATTTGAATGGGATCGGACCATTTTCTCAATCCCCTTCCAGGTGAACGCTCTAAGGTGAAAAAAGTACAATATTTAGTATTAAACGCTGTACGGTCATCTTCCACACCGTCCACTTAATTTCAAAGCATAAATTGATAGGAGAAGTAGAGTACAAGTCGGAATATCACAATAAAGCCTAATCTACGGTACTTTACTACTAGAACAGATGCAGAATATT